CCCCAAAACCCCAAAACCCCAAAACCCCAAAACCCCATAATTCATCTAAATGATTGATGGAAGTCAATACTTGAGATTACTAAAGCTCTTGTTGGATAATACTAGTGTAAACAGATCTGTTCCAATGGTCCTCCCATCTTTCAGTACAAAACCCATTTTTCAAGTCTTCTCTCCATTTTTCTAGAGTTGGACTTTTTCCATCCTTAAATTCGTTCAGTATCGAATAAATTTGCTCGCAAAGCTGATCTTTATCAATAAATATTTGTCCATTCTCGTCATCCTTCACTAATTCTGAGATACTTTGATAATTGATTGCTAAACATCCTATATTATGAGATCGATAGTGTACCAAGTTGAGCAGAGAACATATCTACAACTTTCATAGGGAGATCAACACCACTTGAAGAGTAATGAAGTCATACACCTAGATCAGCACTTCCAACAAGTTTAGGGTAGTCTTCAATTTCCAACCACATTGTTTCAATCTGGATATGCTTTAAATTTTTATTTCATTCCTCGAATTCTACCTCAAACTGTTCCTTAAGTGGACCTTTGCCTGTTACTACAAGGTGGATTCCAGGTCCATCATAATCTTCGCCTATACTTTAAGTAAAGAAAATACCTTTTTCAGTAATAATTTTCTCATTTAAACTAATCAAAGCTTGAACTACAAGATTAAAGTCTTCATCAGGAGTGTAGCTCGTGCTACTAAATAATAGAAGATCTCTTTGCGGCTTCTCTTGGATCCCATCAAGAGACTCTACAGTAAACTTGTTGTCGTCCTGCCATAACTTTGTGAATAATTCATGCCTCTCTGAGATATCAAGGCGACCATATTTAGGAGTTGCCTTGTCATACAAAACATGAATAGGTCTTGTGATTCCCATATCCTCCTGAAGGTCGTCTTTGAAATTATTGCTAACACAAAGATTATAGTCAGCCCATCTTCCACACAACTTCTCATATATTTTGGCAACTTTAACAATGAGTCTGTTGACTCCATTAACTCTAAGAATACTATAGCCACAATTATGCCAGTCAAGTATGATTCTACTTCTTCGACGGAAAAGTCTGACCACTGCAAGTCACCAAAGACCTGGAATACATGGAGGATTCTGATAGATCCAGAATCTGATATTTGGCAAAGTAAATAAAATCCAAAATGACTGTAACAACTGTATAATGATCCTCAACAAGAAATACACTAGGTAAAATATTCTTGGTAATTTCTTCAGCTTATCTATCAGGCTTGTTGAGATATATCTGACCTCAATCTTATCATTTTGTTGTATAGCCAAGGGAAGATCTGACCCTTGATACCCAACGAAGTAGACTCTGTCTACTTCATCTCAAGAAGCCATGCTCAAAGCATGATTCTGCATCCTTGGACTGTGGCCAAGGTCTCCAAACACAAGTACTCAGGCGCTCATTTTTATTTAATGATATCTCACCACGTGCAAAAATTAGGGGTTTTGGGGTTTTGGGGTTTTGGGG